TTTGTTTCATGATCTGCTTAACAATAGCGGAATGATGGCCATTTTAAGGCCTGAAAATGCATCAAAATCACGTATTTTTACAATTCCAGAACCGGATCTCAGTCATGCATGGATGGATTTTGTTCAGATTTAGCACAATGTGTTGTACATATGCAGGTGCATTTCGGTCATGATCTGCTTTGAATGTATATGTCACTCAAATATGAACGGGACGGGGACGTGTCATTGACAATGACTTGTTATATTTATCATACACCCTTCACCCAACCCCTAAAATACAATGTAAATCATAATTCATCAAAAAATAACTTACCATGATGTCATAATTTGTCTGCACTCAAAATTTTTAAAACACTAAATCTCCTCTTTAATAATAGTTGGCTAATTTGGACTAGTTTAGAGGGCATTTTTTCTATGTTTAAACATTACAATCTCAGAAAGTTTTTTTGATTTCTACAGCTTAATGAGAAGTTTATTCTACAGTAAACTGTTATGTACCGATATATCGGTACAAATGTATATATAAATTTGTTTCAGAATGATCAAGATTACTACGGCGCACCCCTATACTATGCACTAACACCACATTTTGTATCGTCACAATGCCCACAGGACAAGATTTACTGGTACATGTATTATTCATTAATTAAAACTAATAATATTTTAGGAAAAATTAGGTGACTGTATAAACAGAAAAATATAGACTTTCTCTTGCATTATGTGCTCAATTTGTCCTAAAATGCTTACCCGGTAGTTTAAATTCATGTTTTAGATTTTACAAATTAAATCTTAAATATGATTGAAATTGTGATTTGTCGGATTTCCTGCATATGCTACAATTTGAAAGGAATGTAGCCAACTTTATAACAGGGTACCAGTAATATAAATGGTTTCTGGACTGTAGCATATTGAAGTTGAATAATTGTAACATTGTGGTCCTGGACTGTGAAAACAATTAATTTAAACCCCTACAGTATTATAACACAAGACAATAGTGCTAATTTATGATGCAGATTTGTTTCTATATTTATATTTAGGGGTTTGGTCCCATGACTCGTATGAAAATAAAGACAATGCTCTTAATTTCTATTCATGTTTGCTTATGTTTCAGCATCTTATAGAACGATCGTGGTATGCTGTCACAGAAACGTGTCTTGCATTTACGGTGTTTCGTGAAGACTTTAGTCCAAGATTTGTCGCTATGTTCACATTTTTATTGTTTTTAAAATGTTTTCATTGGTTAGGAGAAGATAGAGTAGACTTTGTAAGTATACAGTGAATTAATCTTTATAAACAAATCCAATATTGCAACATGTTTTTTGTGGTAGCACTCGTACCCAAATGGGTTCCTTCTTGTAGCGTATTTTTGTTTTTAACTCTCACAACCATTAGAAATCTTTTAGAATTGCGATACGACTATCACAACCTTAACTTACATCAGTATGTCTAGACACAATTGTAAATTGGAGGATGTTATAACTTATAAATTCTAATTTTCTAAACAGATGGAGAGAAGTCCAATAATAACTTGGGTTTTCCATCTAAGAGTTGCAGGTATGTATTGCTATTGTTCCCATTGAAGGGAATGATTGACTTTAGTAAATTATAAAATCTGGTACTGTGTATACCAGTATTCCATTACATGTAGAAGCACTTCAAAGCATGATCAAAGAAAGTTTGGTGTACTCAGTGAAGTCAATCATGTGAATTGTTTGCGGCATGACATGCACTGATGAACTCCCTTGAAGTACTTCATACTGTAGTAAATTTTAATTAAGGAAAGATACTTAGGTAAGGTTGTCAGAATTTCTTATTTATTTATTTCTATTTAGGCCACACTGACTTAATTTTATGGATCACATCCGCGCGCGCATTAGTTTTCGCCTGTTCTCAAAAAAAAAAAAAAAAAATCTCCTTCGACGAGTCTCCACAGATCGGTTTTTAGTCTGGAACTTGCCAACTCATATTGTCGCAAAACGCCGGCTTTTCGTAAAACTTTGTTTTGGACTACCTCAAAACGTGTCAGTTATGTCGTAAATGATCTTCTGCGCATGCGTATTGTGTTGCCGGGAATTCCAACATGGCGACCACGCCACCAAAATACGTGTAAAAGCATAAAAGTTCAGAGGGAAAACGGAGTGATTGTTATAGACTGGTACGCAAATGACGTCGGCCAGGGAGATATGACGTTTACACAGCTATAAGGACATATTGTCCAGGGTGGCTGTCCCGCGATGCAACGATGAGAGAAATGGGATAGGAGTGGAGGTGTATGGTGGCCTAGGGATGTGATAGCTGAGAAGGAAGAAAATACCTATTGTTGAAGAGATCGATGTGTGGGGTGTAGAGGAGTGCAAGAGATCTTTTTTTCTTTTTTTTGATACTTGAGGTTGAGATCCCTACACACTAGACATACTTGCAGGGTTAACATGTAGGCTTCATTTCACCTGACAACACAGTTAAAGCTAACAACAGGTGTGTAGAGAGGAGCAAGCAAGGACATTTCTGTATCATTTCAATGTTTTGTTAGTTATTGTCATAATGTAGTGATATTTACATTCCGCCTTGATACACTGTGTTCTGTGGTTCAATTCGTAATACCAGCTCCGTAGTCCTGTGGTTTTAGCATCATTTTTTTTTTTGGCAGAATTTTTTTTTTTCGCCCTCTCGCATTAGTTTTGGGGTCTCCAGAGGATGTCATCCATAAAATTAAATCAGTATGGCCTTATGTCACAGTCATGGTAGTTCTGTGTGTGTATACTAATAGTCAGATTGTAAATTAAAATTTCAAATTAAAATACTGGTATGACCAATAATAATGAATGTTAGTCAATGATCAAACCGTGTCAGGAATAGTGCCACAGTTGATATTTTGCTGTTTTGTAAAATAATTTAATAAGTGTTATAATAATTAAATTAGTGTTTTTCATTCTCTGTACTAAAGATTAAAAAAATTAAATAAAATGTATGAGGTTATCAAGTTCAAAATGTGATTTCTACCTCTGCAAATTGCTGTGTATTCTCAGTCAAATGAAATACAAAGTAGAAAATACCAAAATATAAAATATAAATGCACTTTTAACTTGCATAGTGATAAAAAGTTGAATAATTTATTCAGGCCACACAGTAATATATTTTTAATATTTGACAGATCTCTGAATATGTGTTCAGATTTTCACTGTAGGACAATGGGAGAGTGGGATTATAAACTCCCCATCATGTTAAATATGGGTAATAATGTGTATATCCTATTTTACAGCATTGCTAATGTTTTTAGGAATCATTGATGCATTCTTTATCAATCATGCATACTACAGTACAATAACCAAAGGTGCTACAGTTCAGTTAGTCTTTGGATTTGAGGTAAGTACATACTGTCAGGTCAGGTCAGGTCGGGTCGTCCCGTCCCATTAGCTACATAGACACTGTGACAGAATTATCTTCCATTCTTCATAAACAAGCACTCTACATGTTGTTGTTGAACTGAAACTCTCAGAATCTTTAGAAATGCCTCCTCCCCCTCCCAACACATTGTACCAAAACAACCGGGAGACAGAAATTTTCTAATTGAGACTGTTCACCTTTGCCCTATAGAGTCCCATGTATTAAATAGGTAGCCAGAATAAAATAATATCACATTTATTTCTAAAATTTGTTTTCACTTATGACCTTGTATAGTAACAGACAGTCACAAAGTATCAAATTTTCAGAGACTTTCATAATACTTTAAGAAGTGGATGAAGCTTAGTATTGTTGATGCTTAATTATAGATTTGAACCTTAGGAATCTGTTACTAGGTGATGTTTTGTTCTGTTGCTGCTAATAAAGCTCATCTTGTGCTGAACTTCATGTATATACTATCTTGATTTACAGTATGCTATTCTACTGATCGTGGTAGTGAATGTCTTCCTAAAGTATGTACTGCATACGATAGATCTTCAAAGCGAGAATCCCTGGGACAATAAAGCTGTATATTTGCTCTATACTGAATTATTCTTGGGTAAGTATGTACTGCATACGATAGATCTTCAAAGCGAGAATCCCTGGGACAATAAAGCTGTATATTTGCTCTATACTGAATTATTCTTGGGTAAGTATGTACTGCATACGATAGATCTTCAAAGCGAGAATCCCTGGGACAATAAAGCTGTATATTTGCTCTATACTGAATTATTCTTGGGTAAGTATGTACTGCATACGATAGATCTTCAAAGCGAGAATCCCTGGGACAATAAAGCTGTATATTTGCTCTATACTGAATTATTCTTGGGTAAGTATGTACTGCATACGATAGATCTTCAAAGCGAGAATCCCTGGGACAATAAAGCTGTATATCTGCTATATACTGAATTATTCTTGGGTAAGATGAAATTTCATTTTAAGGTATTACACATGGTTATGTATGCAATGAGCACTGGTGCGTGTGCTTGTGGGTGGATTCGTAAGTAGAAAATGACTGAGACACCTATACATTTAAGGGCGCATACCACTACCATTGAATTTCCATAGACGACAATGTTAACATATGACGAGATTGCTATATGAAAACAAAGTTGAAAACATGGCTCAAAAATGGAAAATCAACATGCCTGTAATCAACCACTTGAAAAAAAACTAACATGTTGGCCAGCTCAAACTCTTGCAAATCTCAGGTAAACAGGACACACCTACTGTATTTGGATTGCACCTAGAGAAATCAAATACACACAGAATAAACTCGCAGGTACAGTCGCTAAGTATGTTGGTCTCACCTTTGACCCAGGTGATCACGCCTTCAAACAGGGAGCACCTGAGAAAAAAAATATTTAAAAAAATTTTATTGGTTTTTGCAAGGCATTTAAATTGATTGGTTGATTAATGGCATGAGACCATAAGCAGGTTAGATAGATGTTTGTTTCCTGTAGATAACATAACATACTCTGGCAAATACACAGACGAGGCATGTATTTGGAAACTTTGATTTGAATATTCTGAAGTACAAGTCGTGGATGCAAATGACCAATCAGTGCTCGTTTTACTACCTGTGCACTGATCATTTGCTTCCTCAAGTAGATTGATTGGTTTCTTGTATTATGTGTAAGCAAGGCAGATCCTGAGTTGTACTGCATTTCATTTGTGTTGGGAAGGCTTCTTGTAATTACCCATGATCCTTTTAATTATTGCCCCCCCCCCAAAAAAAAACAAAACAAAACAAACAAACAAAAAAAACATTGTGACAATAATAATGTTGTGCACTTTTACCACCTGGCTAACTAAACTTGTTATGTTTTATTACTGAAATCTTGAAATTGTGTTACCACCAGCTACTAATCATTAGACACTCAAAAAGTATCATTCTCTGCTAAGAATTCATTGTTCACTTAATTGATACAATTAAACCAATACTGTAGAATACTTTATTTTCACTTGGAATTTATTTTCGCTATTTTCGCTGAAGTGAAGATTCCGTGAAAATAAAATCCAGCGAATATACCTTTTTTCCTTTATTTCACATTAAACTCATCAAAAATCAGTGAAAATAAATTCCATACAAAACGCCCAAAAATCCCTTTCAGCGAAAATTAATTCCAGCGAAAATAAAGTATTCCACAGTATATTTGTCACAAAATTCTATATTTTACACTGACTAAACAATATTGGCGAAAACGCGTCTGCTTTGTTTGTCCTCAAAAAACAGACTACTCCTAGCAGCATTAATAAAACCAAAGATCAACTAGAGTTTACACTTACTAGCCTGCAGTTCCGCTTACGCTCAACAATTTGTCAACTCAAAACATCAGACTTCCTGCAGGAACCCTCCAGCATAATCCATTCCTCCATCTTAGAAAAAAAAACTCTATGTAATTTCCGCCACAGAGGGAGCACATCACAAAATCACATACTGTGCACATAAGTAGCAAGCAGTCATGCAAATCAAAACTAGAATAAATATAAAAATAAATAATAAGAATTCATGACAGTGTTTTACCACCAACATTGTTTTTATTTCAGGTTTTTTCAAAGTAATTTTATACATGGCATTTATGGCTGTAATGATAAAAGTTCATACCTTCCCACTGTTTGCTATCAGGCCCATGTATCTAACAATGAGGTAAGTTGCATATTTTTCCATGGTGAATTTATAACTTTCCATCCCATTCATTGTGTATTCTTATTTTCATGCGATGCGTGTTAAAGCGGGAGGATCGTCACCTGCGCACACGTGGGAATTGAGTTCCAAGCGACGATAACAACACACGCTAAACACGCAAAGGCTCATGGGTAGATGCTTGTTTGTAAACAATGACACGCTATGGCCGTCTGACGCATGCGCAGAAGTCGAGTGCCCCGCTTTAAATTCTGACTTTGTGCTCAGCCAGAATCATGTGTTCCTGCTGTGTTGGATAGTGCCTAGTGTGCTTACTGATGCATGGAGCATCAATTCGTTTAATTGTTGTGCTGGTTTGTCGCTATTACAGTCAAGGTTTCTATTATACTTATCTTGTGATAATTGTTTTGTTTGACAGGGCATTCAAGAAAGCATTAAATGATGTCATCATGTCTAGACGAGCTATTCGTAATATGAACACACTGTAAGTACCATCATTTTTGTTATAAATACATTTAATTATGTTTGAATGTAATAGTAATACATTATGACAGCTATTTTGAACCTGAAAATTCTAAAAATTCCCATTTTTTTAAATTCGCCATTACAATTTTTTTTTAGTTGTTCTGATAGTCACTGCTGCTAAGTAATCAAGAATGTCTTTTATTTTACCTTGGGTCTGCTATAATAATGTGCATTTAAACCACTAATAACTTACAATCAAGTTTTGTTAAGTACTGCTAGTGGTATTGTACATCATACTGCTGTGGGAGTGTGTGTGCAATGCAATATTCAACCACCACTCCCATATAAAAATATATACTATGGTGCACAGTACAGTTCAGTGGGACCTTAATTTATTCAGAATTGCACTAAAGTTAGAAAGAGATGGCTAAACAAAATTTTGTGGTATGGTTTCCACGATGGGTGCTGTACTAGCTACGTGTGATCATGTGGTGTACCTGTTTTTTAAAGCCAGCATTCAGGCAGATGTTTGGGGAAAATGCGTTGTAAATTGTGGTTTTGTATGGAAATGGTATTAAACTATTCAAATTATAATAAGGTGCATTCTAATTTTGATCTTGGCAGTAATTATACAACTGTCATTCTTATCATAGTTACCCCAATGCCACTCCTGAAGAGCTGTCATCTGGTGACAATGTTTGCATCATTTGCCGAGAGGAGATGGTGAGTGCATGTAAAAAACTGCCATGTGGTCATATCTTCCACACGAACTGCCTGAGATCATGGTTCCAGAGACAGCAGAGTTGTCCCACATGCCGTATGGATATTCTGAGAGCTCCAATACCAACGGGTCAGCAGCAAGGACAACAAACCCCTCAGCAACAGCAGCAGCAACAGCAACAGGCAAACAGTAAGTGGGTTCAAACAGTAATTATATATTTTATTGATACAGCAATTTGAGCAAATAAATTTTACAATATTTGATTACAGTTTAAAACATTTCTTGCCCATAATAATAGCTTGTACATATTTAATTTTGGTCCAAGGGACAACCCAAAAATGATCACTGACACTTTCCCTAAAAGATTTGGTACTATATTATTAGAAGGCATACTTTGTATAATTGATACATTCATTTTTCTATTTTTTATTTCAGTGATGCCAGGACAAGGCCCAATGATGCCTCAGTTTCCAGGTGGTTTTCCGATGTTTATTCCACCCATGGTACCTGGTCAGTTTCCTATGCAGCAACAGCAGCAACCATCCACTACTCAACCAGGTAATGATTGATGAAATGTTTGACAAATTGTACATGTGACTTTTGTTAGAGAGAGTGGCATACTTGCATGATACACAAGTATGGTCAGTTGTTTGATGAATGCTGAAAGTAAATTTTCACTCTTCAAAATTATTCTCAAAAACTCACTTTATTTTGTCTGTATTGTATAACAGCAAGCAGTACGACAGCGACGCCAACAACAAGTACTTCAACCCAACCAACAGCAGTGCCTGGTGGAGCAGCCACCACATACACTATGCCCGGTTCAACAATGGCAGGATTTCCAGGCATTTCGCCTTACATGATGCCACCTATGTTTTCTCCTCCTTTCAGTAAGTACACTATAAAAAATACATTTACATTATAGTATCTGATCAACTGAAAAAACCTAATTCTTGATTTTTTAAATCAGTCAACAACAATGGTGAAGAATCATTGAAAAATCATTGGCTGTCTCCATAGCAACTGGATGTAGATCTCTCCTAAAATCTGATCGCTTGGTTTATTTTTGAAACACAAGCTCCTCCTAAAAATTCAAGAAAATTCATTGCTAACTGATTGAGTTATCTGGCAATGAATAGTCGTTATAAATACATTTTGTGTCTTGTTTTCATGGCAACAAGATCTAAATCTCAACCAACCTTTTAACCAACTGGTACTTATTTTAAAGGGCAACTCCTGCAAATGTCTCGACAATTCCTTAATAGCCTCTTCATTCTTAAAATTGTTTGTGTCGTTGGGGCATGGTTTCCTGAACACGTAATGAAAATTTTAACATAATTTTTTGAGTTATCATGGTTACAGACAGACAAACGCACACCTGCAAAAACATAATAACAATAATAATAAACTTTTAATAGTAAACTGATAAACATTTTTGTTGCTGTATATTTAGATAAAACACACTTATTCTGTTTATGAAAATTAAGGACACTGAAAACTTGTGTAACAGTTAATTCAGTCTCAGTAGGAATGTGCCAATTTTGAGAGTTTGTGAAATTTCCCGTCAAAAAACACATAATTTCATTGTATGTTTTCACCCTCAGCTCCACCACCGATGCCCCCTGCAAACTTTGCTGGCATGAATGATGAGGAATTGCGGGCAATGGAAGGTATAGAGAGAAGTCATGTGGAAGCCAGAGTACAATGTTTACGAAGCATTCATACATTACTGGACGCTGCTATGATACAAATACAGCAATACTACTCACTTATGTCTACTATGGGGTAAGTTCAATATAGCATAATTACACATGTGTTGAAATAAAATAACTTTTAGTTACCTATACATGTACCTATTCTGATTTATTAAAATGTGTGTGTAAATGTACTTTAATCACTCCATGTATATCATTAATTAGCTGATTATACATCATGACCTTCAGTGCGGACTAGCTTTGGTGCTTTTTTTTACATTTGGGTTTTTGGGCCAAATCAACAATCATTTTGCATGGTGATTATAATTATTAGTGTAAGGTATTTTGCATATACATATATATGCTTAGCCGTGCACCGCTTTCGAAAAAGTGTGCAAATGACAATTTTAGTTCATCATATGCCAGATTGAGGGGTGTTAAATTATTAGAGCCTGTGTGAATACACTTGAAGTCAAAATCTTCATTATCGAATGTGTTTGATCATACACAAACTCTTAATTTTCTGCATTTCTCTGAGAATTCTTGAAGGCATTTCAGTAACACAATGTGGAAGTAAATTATCAATGTTGGAGTATGGCATGAATTTTTAAAAAAATATTAATTAACAATTTTTGAATTATGGAATGAAGTTTTTACTGTCGTTCATGGTTAAAAGGTCATTGTCAAAGCATAGTTTACGCATGGTAAGCATGCTCTATGCATTCACAACATATTCATGATGGTCGCTGTATTATATAAATTTGTTTACCGGTACTGGTATTCAGAAAAAAATTAAACAACCAAAGATTAGGTTTTATGGTTGGACAGTCAAAATCATAAAAAACTAAAGGTCATCATTTTACAAGGAGTTAAAACCACTCTCTCATCTTGTGTATCACTGTGTGATTTTTTGCAGACCTCAAGCTAATATGTATCCTGCTCCGGCTTCGGCTTCAGCTTCGGCACCTGCTCCTGGTGTTGGAACCACACCAGCTGAACCAACCAAACAAAGTGATTCTGTCAAAGGAGAGACACAAGCAGCGACCAGTGAGAAACCGTCTTCTCTTCAGTCTGATGAAGGTAGGTACTCGCATATGACAAGTTTAATATTGCTTTTTTCTTGCTTTGCTTCTCCCAGTGTTTATCAAAGTCACAGAGATGACTTTAAATGTCTCGATGCAGCAAGATAGACCTGACACTCATGCAAATGACAGAGGTGTCTTTATGGTTGAAATAAAGCATGTAATGATTTGTTTTGTTTATGCAAGCTTCTGTGCAAATACTGTGTATGCACACATTCATCCATGTTAGTTTACCACATCCAATGTAACATGCGGCAAAGAAAATAACCAGTTCTATAATTTTTTACTTGGTAGTTACTGTAATCAACACCTGTATCATGAAGTCAAACTCGCAGTAGATGAAATTGAAAGGCAACACTGTTTGTGCTTTTATATTGCAGATTTGAGTGACCTCGAAGGTGCTGTCGGTTTCACGCCAGTCGAAGAAGTAATTATTCCCGAATACCACGATGAACCTGTTGATGAAATTGATCATCAAGAGATTCGAAGGAGGAGAATTGAGCGACTCGAAAGTGAAACAAATTTGGCTGCACTCGACAAGGAGAGTGAAACCAAATAAACATTGTTCACGCATTTAATGCCACTACAAATTTACATACTAAATTTATGTAAGTTACAGCTGCCAAGGACTGAAAATAATGAATGAAAAAGACAAGGTTGTAATAGGAGACTCAAATTATGTGTACGATTACAGTTTAAAATTGGATTCGTTATTTATTACGTTAACTCTACTTCCTGAATACCTTAGCATCACGATAGCCTTGCGACATTTAGTTCCATCCTGCTGAATGATTGGTTGGTTTAAACCTACCTTTATTTTATTGATAACCACAACTTAGTTTTATCTTGTATATTTTTTTTGGAAATTAAATTTTTTCTTTCACTTGAATAATTGTAGACTTATTTCAATTCTTGATTTTTGTTTTCATTCAGCCAAAATTTAAGCCCTATGTTCATCACAACTTTATATTTCTGTGTCTCTGGACCATTTTGTTTCATACGTACCGGTAATCCTTTAATTTGCTTTAGGGACAGCCATTAAAGTTGGTTGTTTGCTGAAAGAATTGACAGGGCTAACTTTGATATTCCATTTGAAACTGCCACTAATAAGATGGCAATATTCAGGGCCTGAAATTCATGGTGGCTTCACAGGCAGTTGCCTTGATGCCCAATGAGTTTTCCTTTGTTTTAATGTTTTCAATTCCAAATTTAATCTCCATTGCAGTATTGTACAGTAAAATTCTTACAGCGTAGTCCAGTGTTACACTTACATGTGTAAAAAAAAGAAAAGTGATACCTATTTTATTTCTGTAGAACTCTTTTCTGATTCACAGTAATATTAAGAGAACTATTTAATTTTTCAATGATATTTTAATAAATTTCATATTGTGCAATGTAATTTAAGATTCACAATTTTTGTTTGAGGAATAAAAAAAGTGACGCACTGCCCATCATTGCTAATGATAATGTCTTACAAACAGGAATATGTGCAAACAATGGCAAGCTGGTCTGGCTTTATTCGCCAAGCATGCATTCACATCAGAGTCCTCTAATTACGATATAATGGGCAGTGCACAGGTTCTACTAGATAGATAGAATATCTCCAAAAACAAGGGTTCGTTTCACTGAGCAATACAATGTTCCAAAAGTTGACTGGCAAATTTCTCAAATGAATTTAAAGCCACAAATAATTTTACTTGCAAAATAACCTGAATTATTACAAATGCGTCACTCGTGAAAATAACTTCCATACGCAATGAAAGCCACAGGGGGGCGGTGTAGGGTTCTGTCTAATTCCTACACTTGAGGAAATGATTGGTTTATTTTTGAAAGCTGTATTTTGAGCAGTATAATGACCGTATATGGTCATGTGATTTCATTAAAAATGCAAAAATATCTCATCTGCAGCAATGTGCAGATTGACATTCAACCTGCTTGAATGCATATCTGTATGCTATTTAATGTTTACATGCCTATTATAATCACTTTGTAATACACCAGGTTGCCGAATAATCTGCTATCTCTGACGAATTTCTTGTTGTACAAATCTTAATGCACCTAAACAGACAACGCTTATTGAAGTATAAGAAGCGGTATATTAATTTAGTCTTTTTCGTCTCTGTTGGACGTACTGTAGTTCGAAACAGGGACTTATGTTTTGGGTTCTGTCCGTCCATCGTCATTTCTCAGAGACGCATAGACGGATTTTCTTCAAAGCTGGTACGAAGACAAGTCATAATAGCAGACGTGCAAATGTTTTTTTTTTTGATTTGGTCGACCTTAGATGGGTCGGCGGCCATTTTTGTCCCCAAAAAACACCAAAAATCAACATTTGGACATGTTTCTCAGATATGCCTTGAACGATTTCATTCAAACTTGGCAGTAATATCAGTCATTGTGGGTTACTGATGCACGTCATTGTTTTTCGTAATTCAATTCAAAATGGCGAACTAGTGGCCAATTTGTTTTTTTACAAGTGTTCTGCTATTTTACAAAGATGTTTGTACAGATTTGGGTTAAATTTTGTACAAAGTCAAGATATAAATGGTTAAATGTTGTGTTCAGTTATTTTTTTTCATCGCAATTTAGCCGAATGGCAGCCATTTTCGTCAAAAACAAATAAAATAACAAAATTCAAACATGATTACTGATGTACATGTACTTCTTTTGCTGTAAATATGAACTTGCATAAGAATACAGTTAATCAATTACTATAAAAAGCAGTTGTAAATAATTTGCCAACAAATTTCAGTTAAATATCTTACAACATGCTCTTCATATTGGCAAGCATGGCTGAAATTTTTCTTTAATTATCTCTGCCTGCCTCCCTAAATGTACATTGTAAAGGTTATTAGTAAATAGAAAAAGTTGAGTTGCCCCTGCTCATTTATTAAGTTTTGTGTAAATTGTACTTGGTAGATGCAATGCATTGTGAACGTAAGTACATGGATGCAGCCTTTATAACCATTGGATTGAACAATGGAATGAGAACTTGTGTCTTGTCTGTCAACATCGTTTCTCTGATATAAACTCATTATTCAAGGGAGTGCATGTCATGCCGTAAACAAGTCACATGACTGAGTACACCATTGTGGAGGTGAAGATATGATTGTAACTGGTTGGTCTGTATCTCAACATATTTCTTTAATATTAAAAACACAATTTTCTAAATATTTGCTAAAATAAATGAATATTAACAATTCTGATATTTACTTCAGGTACCCATTTTCAAAGTTTATAAAATGGTCTATATAATTAATATAGGTTATATCAAATGGCACCAAGCAAACTAAGTTTGTGAGGTTATTAATTTCAATATAACAGTAGTGCTAAATGAATTTTCTGTGGTATCCAATAATGCATTGGATTAATTAAAATTATGAAGGAGACATACCTGTTTAACATTTTCAGTACTTCAATTTTTCGGGTACAATATTTCACAGTATGAATATCATCAAATTGCTCTAGAATGGCATTGGCTTTCTGGAAATCAAAACATAAAAGTCTATTGTTATTGTTTACCAGATCCCGGCCAGGAGGATACCAATTTACATTGTACATGTAATCATGATAGTGGATAAAAAGTACATTTTTTTTGCTGTGCGTGATTACCATTGCCTGGCGCCAAACTTGAACGGTTATAAAATTACGCTCGGGAACGATATTGTTTTGTTTTCATGAAAAAAAAATGACACACTCAATTTGAAGAAATGGTTCTATACTTCATTTCACACAAAAAAAAGACATTTCATTGACGATTATACGGAGTTACATCTCTGAATGTTGATGTTGATGTACACAGCCTTCGTGGGGTATTTTGTTTTCATTCTAACGTCAGACTTTACCTTACGATTGTTTCGCCGCTCAGTCCTGCGGTCTCTTCTCGTGTTTGGTTTCTTTTTGTGGACGAATACCGACCCATATATCAACTTCTTTTTTCGGAATGTATTCCAACAACTCGGTCTGCAAATTCCGTTCAAAACAACTTCGCGCGAAATGGTCCTGGCAAACAACTTTGTTTTTCCCGAACTGATGAACATGCAAACACTGGACCTGTCATTTTCTTTAAATGATTGACATTAGTTTGCTTGACGTTGAATATAATACGTGTCGCATTTATTGGTAATTCAACTATTCTCAAAGGTACTTGTACTAAATGTACTAAACATCAAACAGTCTGGCTATTGTTTTTTTCGAAAAGAACATTGACGGTCGGACGAACGACAGTTAATCAGTATAATATGATCAGCACCGTTGCTGTGTCACCTTCGATGACAGCGGAGCTAAAAAGTTTTAAAATATTAGTATTCTAGTCGAAAATAAAAAAACTTCCTATAATCATTGGCTATTTTGTCAATAAAATAATGTAAATGTATAATCTTCAGTCAGCCAATCCTAATCAAACAATACAACAATATTCGACAATGCTACGTAAATGGTGTTTGGCTGAGTATGTACATTCAATATTATTTTATCAAAATGACTTACAATAGACCATGATAATCCTTGTTTCGCCATGTATTGTATATTTCTGTTATTTTAACACATTGTTTTTGGCACTAGACTTTTATTTGTCACTATAATATTTATTTTAATAACTAGATTCCACATCTGCTGAATAATGCGCCATTTACGTTTGAAATTAACAGGACAGTCCCAAATATGATTTTTACAATGACATGTACGCAATAATATTTACACGTTGTGCAAGTGTCCTCGACAAGCATTGTTCTTACAATTAGTAGAACACCGGGAAGTATATCTTCACCGGAGCTAATGTCGCTTGTTAATTCCTGGCTTGCCTCCACAGTCAGCAGGCGCACACGTGATAATAAAATA